TTCATTTGCCAAGCTAAATATTGCAAGGAGCTCCTAAAACGGTTTGAAATGGACAACGCCAAAGCCATGGCGACCCCGATGAGCACGTCTGACCATCTTGACAAAGACGAGAAAGGTAAGGAAGTAGAGGTCAAAAAGTATCGAGGTATGATCGGATCCCTTCTCTATCTTACCGCTAGTAGGCCGGATATCATGTTTAGCGTATGCCTTTGCGCGAGGTATCAATCATGTCCGAAGGAATCGCACTTAACCGCGGTGAAACGGATCATGAAATACCTTGTCGGCACGGTTAACGTTGGACTGTGGTATCCAAAAGGCTCTTCTTGTCATCTCGTTGGTTATTCCGACTCGGACTTTGCCGGTTGCAAATTAGACCGTAAAAGTACGAGTGGGACTTGCCACTTACTTGGTAGCTCTCTAGTCTCATGGTTTAGTAAGAAACAAGTCAGTGTTGCGTTATCCACAACCGAAGCGGAATATGTAGCCGCCGGCAGTTGTTGTGCTCAAATCCTTTGGATGAAGCAACAACTCGTGGACTATGGCCTTAGTATCAATCACGTCCCTCTTCGTTGTGATAATACTAGCGCCATAAGCTTGACGAAGAACCCCGTTCTTCACTCAAGGACGAAACACATTGACATTAGGCATCATTTCATTAGAGATCATGTTCTCAAAGGTGATGTCAAGATTGAGTTTGTTGAAACACACAACCAATTAGCCGACATTTTCACAAAACCTTTAGAGAAAGAGTCGTTCTTCCGCATTCGAAGTGAACTCGGAATCCTTGACTCCACGATGATCTAAGTTCGTTGTACATCTAAATTTATTAAACATTTACTAACTTGAGCGTCGGAGAACTTTTTCTTTTTTGTAGGTACCCCGTTCATGAAATCAGGGGGAACCATGCAAACAGCGCTGTCCAGGAGACACAACAGCGCTGTTTAGGGAAACACCGTCAACCAGAAAGTTCTCCAACAGCGCTGTCTATCCACCCAACAGCGCTGTCCCAGGGAGTCCCTTACACCTTCATTTTCCAGAAACTTTTTGTACATCGATGTTCCGTTTCAAACATCGCTTTCTTCCCAAAACTTTTTGTTTTCAACCAAAACCAGAAACTTTTCAAACAGCGATGTCTTACTTTAAACATCGATGTCCATCTTTACAAATTTTTCCCCAATCGTAAAACAGCGATGTAGGATAACCCAACAGCGCTGTTCTAATGGGTTCAAACCCTTACACAATTCCAGAAACTTTTGGAATATCGCTGTAGGGTACCCAACATCGCTGTCCAATTGACACTTTTTTTTAAAACTTGACGCACAACAGCGCTGTTCTGATTTCCACCAGCGCTGTCCCAACAGCGATGTCGCTTGTAGAACATCGCTGTTCTGGTCAAAATTTTCAAAAAAAATATCCGTTGGCAGCTGCATTAACTTCTCCAACAGCCATAATTTTGAAATTCAGGCCGTTGGTGACCACCTTTTTTATAAATTGGGACCCCCTCTCTTCACTTTTACACACACAAACACAAATTCCTTCAATATCTTCACATATTTCATCATCTAAACTCTTTTTTTTGAGATTTCTTCACTATGGGCAAAGACAAGAACAGGGCAGGCACTTCCGGAAAATCCAAGTCCAAATCCCGGGCTCCATCCACGACCTCCGAAGAATGCCTCTACTACGGCGATGGGTCGTACCTCTGGTTCGATTCCGAGGAGGAGCGCACCCGATTTCTCACCTTTTTCTCCAAATGGGTTGTGTCTCCCCCACGAATCATCCCGGAGCGCTACCCGGAATTGGAGGGCTACGATGACCTCGACGCGCAGCTTCATCAAGCCGGCCTTTGGCCGTTCGTCTCCCGGGCGCGCAAGGAGATCAACCCGGCACTGATCCGGGCCTTCTACTCCAACCTCCGGCGTGAGGACGACGTGCTCTACTCGCTCGTCAAGAGCACGCCGATCGAGCTCACCGTGGAGCAGCTTGGGCGCATCGCCGGCCTCCCCTTCCAAGGCGACGATGTGTCTCACTATGGTGGCGAGGATTGGGTGCTCAACAACGAGGGCCTTATCCTCAACGAGCTTGGCATCACCGAGCTCAAACGCCATGCCTCGGGA